GGGGGGGGGGGGGGGGGGAAGAATTTTTCTAACTTCTATTTTGTTTTGTTTTTTGTTCATGTTAGAATATATTAATCGCCGGTACCGACACCGGTGCAGCCACTATGGTTTGGGTGATGACGGCCCTGATGAAAAACCCTAGAGTGATGAAGAAAGTGCAAGAAGAAGTTAGAAGGGTAATTGGAGAGAAAGGTAAAATAGATGAAGAAGATCTGGAAAAACTTCCTTACCTCAAGGCAGTGGTGAAGGAAACGTTAAGATTATACCCACCTGCTCCTCTTCTAGTGCCTCGAGAAACTATAGAGAAATGCATTATAGATGGATATGAGATCCAACCCAAAACCCAAGTTTTTGTGAATGCATGGGCCATTGCAAGGGATAAAGAATCTTGGGATAAACCAGAGGAGTTCTTTCCTGAAAGATTCTTGGACAGTACTATTGACTTCCGAGGACAAGATTTTGAGCTAATACCTTTTGGAGCAGGACGAAGAGGTTGTCCTGGTATTAACTTGGGAACTGTGACAGTGGAATTAACGCTTGCTAATTTACTCTACTTGTTCGATTGGGAACTGCCTATTGGGATGAAGAAGGAAGAAGTAGACACTGAAGTGTTGCCTGGTTTAGTAATGCATAAGAAAAATGCTCTCTGCCTTGTCGCTAAACATTATGAAGATGGGTACTAATGTGATTAATGCGAGGTCGTCATTGATTAAATAATAATCCAATCCTTATTTCTTGAATGTACTATGCGTAGTCCCAAAGTATGGCCTTGTGCCTTTATCTATTCTCACACAATTTTGTTGCTTTTCTTGCTGTGCATTATTATTCAAACGTATTCCTGCAAACAATACTCAACAGTTCTTATGCTGGAACGTTTTTTACCCAAGTAACCGATGGGGTCGTTTAACATTAGAATAATTTCAAAAAAAAAGGACAATAAAATTATTTTTAGAATAGACTTATGACACCGAAATATGTTATTATATTTTAACATTAAAATGCTTGGTTGTGGGTGTGAAGTGTGTTCGAGTTGTTGTACTTTCCCATATTGTTTAGGTTTTTTAGCTTGTCCCACATTGTAATAGTAGAAGACTTTTGCCTTATAAGTTATTAGTGATTGCACGCTCATGAGTTTATATTTTTCCAACCCTTCCGCCGAGGACAAGGTCAACTGGATTCTCTCTTCTAATTCAAATTTCTCCACTTCTTCATCTTGGGTGCATAGTCGACAGAGGAGTTCCCCAGTTCCATGATATAAGCTTGTCTGGTCTGGGAATGTTGTCCCTAAAATGAGTTGTATCATTTGGTTAGCTGTAGAGGTGGCAAATGAGTTGGTACGGTTAGTTACGGGTCGGGTTAAATTGGATTGAGCTAAAATAAATTTAATTCATTTCTCACTCATGTAGTAAATGAGTTATAATAGGTTGGGTTTATAAGAGATTGGGTTAAATCAATTCGTCCATAAAATAATTAAAATTTTTAATGATCACATTAGTACATCAAAACACACACACACACACATTAGTAATACACAAAAATACAAACACATACACACACTAATACACTAAAAATATACACTAATACACCAAAAATACACACACATATACTAACACAAAAACTAAAATACATTTAATAAAAAAAATACACAAATAATGGGTCGGAGTGATTGTGGGCTATGTGTCATGGGTCAACCCATATGGGGTCGTGGGTCGAACCATGGATCATGGTTCAACCACGGGTTATGGGTCAACCCCACGGGTGATGTGTCGACATGTGGTCATGGGTTGACCCGTGGGTCATGGGTGGTGTATTAGTGTGTGTTTTTTGTGTACTAATATGTATATATTTTGATATATTAGTATATATGTATGTATTTTTTAGTATATTAGTATATTTATTTAATTTTATTACTTGTGTTATTTCATAATAAAATAAATACTCAATACAATGAGTACTCATTTGTAATCCATATTAACCCACTTAATTAAAATGAATAATATTGCTCAACTCATTTAGAACCCATATTAATTAATATAGGTACCCAACCCATTAATTTATGGGCAAGTTGAGCGGATTAATGGGTAATAGATTAAAATTGCCACCTCTAGTTAGTTGTAAGGTCCTGAGTACCCTTGATAGAATACAATCTTATGCAGCCCACTTAGGCACTAATTGTATCCTTTGCAGAGCTGCAGATGAGACTCATGCCCACTTGGTTCTTTGAGTGCAGTTATTCATCAAGAGTTTGGAACAATATTATGCTCGCTATGGAATTGGTTCAAATATGGAAGCAGAAATTCTTGCCCTTCTGGATGGTCTGCTCCTTGTGAAAAATTATGGTTTGGAGGCTTATCCCTTGATTATTGATACAGATTCTCAAGTCCTTGTGGATCTGATTAAGCAGCAGTCTATGTTAGCTTGGATGTTTTGGGCCCTCTCTAGAAAGATTTTTACTATTCTCCAAAGTTTTGAGTATCAAATACAGCATTCCTATAGACATGGTAATGCGGTTGCGGACTCTTTGACCAAACAAAAAGTCTGTGACCAGGTTTCTCACACTCATACCTCCCCTCATGCTCTAAATCTACATACAAGACAGCTCCTACTACAGGATCAGCGACAAATTAAATCTCTGCGCTCTAAGGTCAAAGTACTCTAATAGTGGATCTGGTTTTGGACATTATGATGCAACATACATATATGATTCTACAGGAATACGTTAAGGCGGATCAGAGTTATTTCCCAGTATGCTCAAGATACAAGTTCATACATTCGAATCCATTCACAGTTCAAGCAAAAATACAGTCTGTTTATACAACTAATTTATCCATATACATGTGGGATAATTTTTCAAAAGTAAGGAAATTTTACTGGGAAAGGTTACAACAGTTACCTGCTTGTCTTCTCTTCTTCTTCAGGATCAATGTCCGAGTCTCCGGCTCTTGGGGTTGTTTCTTCATTTGGGTTCTGATCTTATTTCATATTTCTCTGTTTCGACTGCTGGAATTCTGCAAGGGTGGTTTTAATCTCTGCAATCATTGGATCCATCAGGCGAGGTTTCTAATTTTTATGGTTGAGAAGTGGAGATTCCAGGATGATTTGTGGTTGGATGGGGCTTCTATTTTCTTCATTACACCTATTGGAAGCCTTTTTCTTGCGTTGGTCATTTTGCTCCTGCTGGTCTCTCTTTTACTTCTCTGCCGCGCTGGTTTTCTTGGGCTGGATATTCATCTTCATCAATATTTTAGGAGGAGTCTGGTTCTCTGAAGTCTCTCTCCAAAGAGGTTTACAGATCCTAGGAGGTTTTTTAGCGTTCAGGAAATCTGGATAGTCGGTGCAGAATTACAGGGATGTCTCTGACCCTTGGTCCTTTCATCTGCTTTATCAGAAAAGTGCATTGGCCTATCAAGACTGATTTGCTTTTCATTTCCCGAAGGCAACCTTTTGCCTGCCTTTTCTGATAACACTCCATTTTGCCCTTAGCTCAAGATTTCCCCAGCTCGAAGTCAGGCTCCTTTTCTCAGCTCCTTCATTAGCTCATCCGAGCTCTGTAATCAGAGACTTCGATTATGGACTGCTCAACTCTGTTTGGCTATGGTTATATTAGCAGCTTTATGTTAATTAGATTGCATCGAGGGGGTAATGTACATACGTCTCCCTGGCTAGGTGCAATTTACTTTTTAATCAATAAAGTTCTCCTCGCACCGTCGAGGTTCACCAAAAAGAAAAAAAGTGGGTTTGTCTGGCAACCCAAGCCATGGAATGAACTTATTGAATGGACTGCTATCAATTGGGAGGGGAAATCAATGCAAAATTTGATACAAAGAATTTGGTTGGCAGCCTCAATCTACTATGTTTGGATGGAAAAGAATTCCACAAGATTTCAAAACCAATATAGAGACCCAAATACTCTGAGCCCTCTAATCCAAAAGGTTATAAGGAACAAAGTGTCTATTTTGAAATTCAAAGCTTCCACCAGCAACCTGCTTACAGGCCAGTTATGAAACCTTCCCTCTTCTTGTTTCTTTTAGTTCAGGAGATGGTTTCCCTTTGGTGCTATCCATTTGGTGTTGTCCATTGTTGCCTTGGTGATTTCTCTTTACACTCTGGCAGCTCACAGTATGGGAGTGGTGAAGTTAGGCATATGAACCGGGCGGTGCTAGAAAATTACTTTAGGGTTGACACATAAGTAAATTTTAATTGTTTTTTTTATCAATGTTATCAATGACTTAATTCAATGAAACTGTTATTTTAGTTGTAAATTTCAATGTTAGATGAAGTCTACTTTCAATCAAAGGGGTGCATTAAATTATGTCATCAAATTTGATTTAAATAGCATTTTTCATTTTTTTTATCAATTGACCATAAAAATTCATAAATTTATGTTTACTATAATTATGAGTATAATTCATTAAACATAAAAGGTTAAAAAACGATTTGCATGAAATGAACAAACAAAAAATAAAAGTAAATTAATTAAAACTTTTTATGAGACTAATTATTATCATTTTACAATTAAATCTAATTATTTTTTATCATTTAAAAGAATTACAAATCAATGATATCAATAAATACTTTTTTTCTATATACAAAATGTCAATAACAGTCTTTTATTTATTACAATGTAATTTATTACATTAGAATGCTCATTTCTATACAATAATCCTATAATTTAGAAAAATGAATGCGATATGTCCAAAAATTATTCGGACATGTCTGTGTCTAAAAATTTAAGAATAATAGTAATTGCATTTAATTCAAAATTTAATTATCTTGACCAAAATAAATTTAAAATTTAATTGATAGGAATCCAATGGTTTGTGATCATTGGATAGATAGTAGATATTATTAAATGTAGAGACTCACTATTACATTTAATATTATAATGTATTAGTTTCAATAACATTATTTAAAAATTAATTATTATTTAAGTAACTGTCTATCTTAATCGATATCACAATAATACAATAATGACACAATTAAATATGTCTAAATTTTATTTTAAAAAATATATATTTATTGTAAAAATAATTGAGGGTGGGCAAAATTAAATATATCTAAATTTTATTTTAAAAAATGTATATCTAATGTCAAAAAAAAAAATTTTAAGGGGGGCACATGCCCATTCTGGTCCAAGGGTGGCTCCGCCCCTGCATATTAACCTGCAACACATGTTAATGTGGATTTTTCTGTTTTCCCTGATTGTTTGGATCTATGGTGAGGAATTTAGATGGAAGTTTAAGCTCAAGGCCTCCACTTCCTACTAAATTCTTTCTCCTAAGCACTTCTTATATTCTTGTGTTTGCATGGCCATTGTTCTTTTCTCATGGCTTGTTTGGGTTTTTGTCATGGTTCTGGATGGCCCATTTGGTTTTTGTACGAGTCATTCCATTTTCTAGTTCTCTTTTTTGATCAATTGAATTTTTATTTTCCCAAAAAAAAAATTGTAAAAAAGATATATGAAGAGTTCTGACGTACGTAAAGAGGCTCAAATAGAATTTTTAACTCATTCAAGATGTATTTAGGTTCAAGGTTTGGCAAACCCTAATGCGCCTATACGGTTGAACGTCATGCAAATATCATACACACAGCGATTTAACTTTGTTTGGTTCGATTCTATTGTTTTTTATTAATTACAATTGGAATTTGTTTTAGATAAATAAAAATTGAATTATCTTTCTAAAATACTGGGAACATGAGAACTTACTTTAGAATATTTCACACTTCTAGGAGAGAGGGAGAGAGAACATGCATTCATCTAACTTTTCCTCGCACTTGACCTATAATTTTACGTAGTAATGATAAGTAATTCACCAGAAAACATCAAATGTGTTTTTTGTAACTAATTAGATTTCGTAGGGTTTCGATGGATGCTCTTCGTTCTCAACCACCGTGAAACCCACCCACCCACCCACTGAATTCTCCAC